CACCTCTCTTCCTGGGTGGGCGCTCAAGCAGTTTAACGTATGCGGGGTGACGCAAGGTCTCGCCGAGTTCGTCATTCACCAGCGGTTGTCAGACCACGCAACGATCAAGGTTGACTTGCACCCGGCTGGCCAGAGGCATCATAAGGAGCGTGCCATCAATAGAGACCTCTTCGACACCCCAGAATACACTAGGTTCGTACAGGCGCATCTCCAGTGCGGCGACATTGAGATGTAGTCGCCGCCGATCCGTTTGCTGTACATTAAGACGCCGATGAGAGAGAGTGCCAGATTTGCTCGAAACGCATCCTCGGGCCAGGCCTCGCACTCGACCTTGGGGCGAATCATTCTATGCCGTTCGATTTCCAGGGCTGTCTGGCGTCAGGACCGTACCTTGGGCCAGAAACTCATCAAGGCATGCCCTCTTGCCCAACAGCACCTCAAGTTTGACGAGGAGACGGAGCGTCTATCCTTGGTTAATCCTGGTGCTTCGCTGACCTCATCAACGTTCTGGGAGAATCCGATCACCTGAACAAGATCAAAAGACCGGGGGAAAATCTCTCGGCTGCCCCGGAATCAGAAAAGAAAAAACTCCGGCAACGTCTCCGTCGACTCCAAAGGCAAGCTAAGCTGTGGGCACCGTTTGACCGTCGCTTGCACATTCGCGGTATTCACCGCAATAATCAACTCCTCTCAGACCCGCTGGACATGGCTTCAGCGATTGGCGAGCACTGGGGCAAGGTCTTCAGCGCCAAAGATACTCCTGAGCATAAGGCTCGGATCTACATTCACAGGTTCACAGGTCACGTCGACCTGAGCGACACCCCGCCCCCCACCAGGAGCCTGATGAACGCTTGCACCACCGCATCCAACACAGCAGCAGCTACGTGGAGAAGCCGTACGATCTCATGTGCGACTTCATCCAGGACCTGGCAGCGATCTGCTCAACACACCCAAACATGATGCATCGCAAAACAGCTAAGAATACGACGGTTTTCAGCAGTTTGGAATACGCGACCACGGCGCAGGAGCTGGGATACATTCAAACTGTTTGCAAGTACGTCGCCAACAACCCAAACCATGACGTCATATTTGGAACCACTCGCAACGAAGCGTTCCACAAGCAGCTGAAGGCTTTTTACAGAAACGTCATGTGGCAAACACAACGACACGCTCTGTGCATTGCTGCTGTGGCGAAATTGGCAAAGCTGCTCATAGGTTTCTTATCAAAGTGCCAGCGTGACCAGTCGCATTCTTTTGCAGAGCACGATCTATTGGCTCAGTTCTCCCATTTTCTTTTAACAGAGGCACCTCTTAGTTTCGTGCCCCGTATGAATCATGCTGTGACAGCGAACGAATCAGTAAACCAGGCCCTGCTGCCCCAAACGCAAAGGTTACTCGCAAGCGCCCAGCATCTGCGATGTAGGTATCACTGTTCCTTCACAGCTTGCCCGCGTGCATTGTTACTGGTTGTCGTCGCATCCGAAAACAGTCGCCCTTCTTAACCCGATCGCATCCCCGTTTCATGGCAATAAAAACGGAGAAAAAAAAAACAGCGTCGTTAAATATAACCATATTTTGAGTCCACGGGGTATGCGGAGGGGGCGCGCGAGATGGGCGGGGTGCCGTGGCGAAATCAAAGGGTCGGGGCGGAGGGGGCGCGCTGGCTGGTGGGTGGGGGGACTGGGGCAGGGGAGATGGGGCGCACTGGGGGCGCGCTGGCTGGTGGAATGGGTGCGTGATGGAGGGGGTGCCGTGCCGAAATAAAGTGGTCGGAGCTCTAGACACCCTGTTCAGAAGAATAACTCCTCCCTGTCGAACCCCGGAGCCGGTCGAAAGGGCGGACCGGATATTTCCACTCAGACTTCCTCCCCGCTATGACTCTTTAAGCTCAAAAAGTTGCACTGCACAGATGGAGGGCGGGGCGCTTTTAAAGTGTGGATCTCGCCTTGGCGCCGCGCACATTCGTTGTGACAGAAGTCAAGTGCGTCGTGGATTGAGGGTGGGTCGTTTTTTAAAGTGTGGGTCTCGCCTTAGCGCCTCGCACTTTCGTTGAAAAAAATGGCCAAAGCTTCACGGATTGAGGGCGGGTCGTTTTCGTAATGTGGCTCTCGCCTAAGCGCCGAGCAACGTCGTTGCAACAAAAAGCACAAGCTTCTAGGATTGAGGGCGGGTCGTTTTCAAAATGTGGTTCTTGTCTTAGCGCCGCGAACATTCGTCTCTAAATACTGAAGGAGTTGCAAGGATTGAGGGCGGGTCGTTTTCATGATGTAGCTCTCGCCTTAGCGACGCGCACATTCGTTTTAAACATTCGCAGGGGTTCCAAGGATTGAAGACGGGTCGTTTTCAAAAGGTGGCCCTACGTAGCCTTAGCTCCGCGCACATTGATTGTAACCATTTGCAAGAGTTTCGCGGGTTCCCACGGTCAGCGTGCCAGACATCGTGTTTTCGAATGACTCAGGTTTGTGAGGGCGCATCAGCTGCGTTGATTCGCGGCGTTAAGGCCCCAGGAACGGTCTTCTTGCTGGATTTAGGATCGTCAAGACGCAACAGTCATGTTGATTCGGGCGTTGAAGTCCTCAGAGTGGTGATATGACACACGGACGGCTCTCTCCCAACGAAGCAGTTTCCTCAGTGGACATGAAGCCTTGTAGGAACCCAAAAAAGCAGAAGCTTGGAGGGAGGGTTTATTCCAAACATCGTTGATGAGTCTTGGGTTTCCACTGGTCCTCCTCCTCCTCCTCCTCGTCCTCCTCCCCCTCCTCTTCTTCCTCCTCCTCCCCCTCCTCCTCCTCCTGCTCCTCCTCCCCCTCCTCCCCCTCCTGCTCCTGCTCCTCGTCGTCCTCCTCCTCCTCCTCCTCCTCCTCCACCTCCTCCTCCTCATCCTCCCCTTTTCCTCCTCCTCCGCCTCCTCCTCCTCCTCCTCCTCCTCCCCCTCCTCGTGCTCCTCCTATCCTCATCCTCACTCTCCTCCTCGATCCCCTCATCCTCCTCCTGCCACTCTTCCTCGTCCTTGAGACCCGACGCTGCACAAACGTGTACAACGTCGTGAAAAATCACGACGAGAGCCCTGGACTCTAGACGCAATCCTTCGGCGGCACCTTTGCAAGCCAAACTGGTCCGCGAGGAAGGCACCCGGAGCCCGAGACCGCGCGAAAGCGCCCCGCGTGAAAAGATTGCAACGCCCAGATCTCAGAGTAGGGCGCTCGCCGATGGGCCCTCCTCCGAGGGGCAACGATGCGGGGGACCAGCTCAGGAGGGGAATCACCGACCTGGAATCGGCGATACATCGCCGATAGATCGGCAACAGGCGCCCAATATCGGATCCATACGCTCCTGGGCGGGGCAGGCCATCGGGCCGCTGTCGGAGATAAATTTGCGATTGGGGGTCGATATGCACACACACCCACACACACACACAAACACACACCCTTGGGCCTATCGCCCCGCAAGGCTGCGCTTGACCCCCCGATGGCCCCGCCCTGCAATGGCCCCGCACTCCGGTGTGGGTGTGTACTGGCAACCATCGTGCTGCCAGGCGGGACGATGCATAAGCAACGAAGGGACGTTCCTGGCCATGGAGAGCATCGGACACGACGAAGCTCCCAGGGTTCGACGTGAGGAACGGCCCGAAAGCGAGAGCCCCTCCTGAACCAGAAGTGGTCCTTCTTTCAGCGGTTTGACCGCGACTTCGTCGTCCTCCTCCTCCTCCACTTCCTCTCTTGCTCTCTTCCGCTCTGACATCGAAGACACCTGTCTGTGTGTGTCTGTGTGTTATGTGTTGTGAGAGCGTGCGTGTGCGTGTGCGTGTGCATGTGCGTGTGTGTAAGTGTGTGTGTAAGCGTGTGCGTGTGCGTGTGCATGTGCGTGTGCTCAGCGTGTGCGTGTGCAGGTGCGTGTCCGTGTGGGTGAGCGTGTGCGTGTGCGTGTGCGTGTGCGTGTGCGCGTGTGTGTGCGCGTGTGTGCGTGCGTGTGTGTGTGTGTGTGCGTGTGTGTGCGTGTGCGTGTGTGCGTGCGTGCGTGCGTGCGCGCGTGTGCGTGTGTGTTGTGTGTTGTGTGTGTTGTGTGTTATGTTGTGCGATTCGTGTTGTGTGGCGTGTGCCGTATGTTGTGTGCTGTGTGTTGTGTGTTGTATGTTGTGTGTTGTGTGTTGTATGCTGTGTTATGTGTTGTGTGTTGTGTGGTGTGTGGTGTGTGGTGTGTGGTGTGCGGTGTGTGTGCGTTGTGTGTTGTGTGTTGTATGCTGTGTGTTGTGTGTTGTGTAATGCGTGTTGTGTGTTGTGTGGTGCGTGTTGTGTGTTGTGTGTTGTGTGGTGTGTGCTGTGTTGTGGGTTGTATGTTGTGTGTTGTGTGTTGTGTGTGCGTGTGTTTGTTTGCGTGTGCGTGCGTGCGTGCGTGCGTGTGTGCGTGCGTGTGCGTGTGTTGTGTGTTGTGTGTGTGTGTTGTGTTGTGTGTTGTGTGATTCGTGTTGTGTGCTGTGTGTGTGTTGTGTGCTGTGTGCTGTGTGTTGTATGCTGTATTTTGTGCGTGTGTGTTGTGTGTTGTGTGGTGTGTGGTGTGTGGTGTGTGGTGTGTTGTGCGTTGTGTGTTGTGTGTTGTATGGTATGTGATGTGTGTTGTGTAATGTATGTTGTGTATTGTGTGTTGCGTGTTTTGTTTTGTGTGTTGTGTGGTGTGTGCTGTGTGTGTGGTGTGTTGTGTGTTGTGTGCTGTGTGCTGTGTGCTGTGTGTTGTGTGGTGTGTGTTGCGTGTAAGTGCGTGCGTGCGTACGTGCGTGTGTGCGTGTGTGCGTGTGTGTGTGGTGTGTGTCTCGTCGTTTGCCTCCATCATCTCGTCTTCTCCTTTTCTAATCCTCCTCCTCTTCCTCCTCCTCCTCCCCCTCCTCCTCCTCCTCCTCTTCTCCTCCTCCTCCTCGTTCTCCTCCTCCACGGTAAACCTCAGCGGCGCGACCCAACGTGGTCTTTGTTTCGGCGCCTTGACTGGAATTGACGCCCTCTAGTGGCCTGGCTCTCCATCTCGGTGGACCCCAAACGCGCCGGCCGCCGCAGAGTCGATGACGTGGAAGATGGCGCTCGCAAGGTCCTCGACAGAGGCTCCGTGCGCATTCTGCGCCGCGGTCGCGCAGCTGCGGTTCACCCTGGAGGATGAGGAAGAGGATGAGGAGGAGAACGACGACGAGGAGGAGAAGAGGAGAGAATGGAGGATCATGGTGACAAACGCCTGCAGAGGTGGCTTCGAGGTCAGAGCGGAAGAGACACTCCAGGACGGAGAGAGCAGGAGAGGAAGTGGAGGAGGAGGACGACGACGGCGAGGACGCAGAAGGGGGAAATCTATCCAGGGCCCAGGATGGGCATGGTCAGAATCGGTGCAGGTGTATAGTTGGCACCCTCCGACTCTCCTCCCAACAAGGAGCTCTAGAACGCGACCAAAGCCCACTCGAATGGGCCCCGAGTAGATCGGGCCAGAGAAACGCACCGCGTCACCGATGCATCGGCGGCGTCGGGACGATCAAACTCTCGTTCCTAATCGCGCTGCATCGTTGACGCATCTGCGATGCGGCGCCATCCTCGGACCCCATCTGCTCCGGCCCCGTCTGCAAGGCCGGGCTCGAGGGGCCCAACCACGCGTGAAGCTCTCGAAACCACCCTGTGGCATCTTCGAGGGGTCTCGTCTGTCCCATCGCGCCAACTGTCTGTGTCGAAATTCGTGTCGAATATACGCGTCGAGCCCACGTAGGAGTGTGAGAAAAGACCGCGATCTACAGGACAAGAAGAGGCCACCGAAGATGCAACATAAAGATCCGTCCCTTCCAAGATGCTCTCTGCGTAGGGGGTTGTGACAAATGCGCGGCTCCCTCGGCCGCCCCCCTCGCCTGAGCAGCTTCCGTGCCCGCTCAGAGCTTGTCCAGGTAGTCGTGGAGGGCCGGGATTTCGACCTTGATGTTCTTGCGCTTTCGAACGGCCAGGACCAGCTCATTCATCTTGCTCCCCACCTCCATGGCATTGCCTGGCATGTTCTCCCAGTGATCGAAGACGCACTGGGGGAAAGCCTGACCCGAGGTCGCCTGCCGCAACGCAGAGACGAAGCCGAAGGACTCCGACACCGGCAGGTACGCCTTGACCTGCATGAGCGGCGTGCCCTCGCGAGGGTTCTCCTCGAACACGCAGCCGCGGCGCAGGTTCATGCAGTTGTACACGCCGCTCATGGCCTCCTGGGGGCACGTGATCTCCACGAGGAAGACGGGCTCCTGCAGCGTCGGCTTGCCGAGCATCTCCGCCGCGAAGCACGCGCGGCGCGTGGGCGGCATGATCTGCCCTGCGCCGCGGTGGATGGAGTCGGTGTGCAGGGTGCAGTCTGTGAGGTTGAAGCGGATGCCGCGCATGTTCTCCTCGCACAGGGGGCCCTCTTTGGTGGCCCACTGGAAGGCGCTGTTGACGTGCTCCTTGATTTCCAAGAGGTATTGGATTGCCTGCGTGACGTCAACAACAACATTAGCGCCCTCGGTCTCAGGACCCCAGCACCAAATCTTGCGCGCCGCGGATTCGTCCCAGTCGTACTTCTCACGGAAGACTTTCGCGCGCTCCTTCGCATCCGCCTTGGGGCCAAGCTTCCCGTCCTCGATGTCCTTGCTGATCTCCTCGGCCATCGGCTCAGCCTCCAAGTAGATACGGTTGTGCTTGTTCGGCGACTTGGCCAAAGCGGTCTGCGTGGATGTTTCGGAGACGGTCTCACGGTAGGAAACGACGGGGTCGGAGACGATGAAGTCACACTGTGCGTACTCCTCGCGGAGGTCCTTAAGGCAGATCTCGACGTGCAGCTCGCCACAGCCAGCGATCACGTGTTCCCCGCTCTCCTCGGTCGTGCAGACAACGAGCGGATCGGACTTGGAGAGCTTTTTGAGACCCTCAACGAGTTTGGGCAAATCCTTACCATCCTTCACTTTCACAGCCACCTTGACCACGGGCGACACGCTGTACTTCATGTCGGCGATGTTGTGGGCATCTTCGATGGTGGTAATGGTTCCAGACTTCAGAAGGTACTGGTCAACACCCACCAGGGCAACGGTGTTGCCGCAAGGGACATCGGCGATCTGCTCGACGGACCTGCCCATCATCAGCACGGTGCGCTGGATGCTCTTAACATTCAGGTCCTCCTTGCTTCCAGGCGTGTAGTGCGGGCCCTGGATTCGCACCTTCTGCCCGGTCGCAATGGTGCCGCTGAAGACGCGGCCGAAGGCGTGGAAGCGGCCTTTGTCGCTGGTGGGCACCATCTTAGACACGTACATCATCAGCCCTCCATCTTTGTCGCATGCGCGGATTGCATTCGCGGCTGCGTCATCCATGGGTCCCTCGTACAGATTCTCCACGCGGTACTTCTGCGCCTGACGAGGCGACGGCAGCTTGGAGACGATCATGTTGAGGAGTGTGTCGGCTGCGTTGATCCAAATCTGCATCGAGCGCTTCATCAGGGGCTTGCCGGTGAGGGCCCTGTCATCGCCCTTGAGGACGATGCCGAGCGTCTCCATCATCTTCGAGTACTTGTCCTTCTGGTCGTCCATAATCGCGCGCATCAGCTGGTTGATCGGGGTCATGATAAACTGGCAGAAGGCTCGAGGCAACGGCTTGTCGCACCCCTCGGGCTGCATGACGTTGGTCCAGGTCTTCTTCTTGGCGTTGAAGAAGGACTCGCCCCACAGGCGCTTCATCATCTTGTCCTTGTCGACTCCCATCTTCGCAGCGTAGATCTTCGCGAAGCGCTCCACGTTGAACCCCCATCCATGTAGACCGCTCCCGAAGGCCACCGTGCCCTTGTCAGGGGACACCTGGTTGTCTCCCATCAGCTCGTCGTTGTATGTTGCGATGATCACGTTTACATCCTCAATGGCCTTGCGGAAACGCTGATACATGTCCTCGGGCTCCATCTGCAGCTCCAAAATGCAACGATCCACCTTGTTCACAAACAAGCACGGCTTCACACGCTCCGCCAGGGCCTGGCGCAGCACGGTCTCCGTCTGCACCGCGCAGCCCTCAATGCAATCGACAACGACCATGGCACCGTCGGTGATACGGAGGGCGGCTGTGACCTCAGAAGAGAAATCCACGTGGCCAGGGGAATCGATAAGGTTGATCAAATGCGGCTTGGCGCCCTTGCCATCCTCATCATCATATTCGAAATACAGAGATACTCCGGTACTTTTGATGGTCACGCCACGTTCCTGCTCGTCTGCCCTTGTGTCGGTGAAGCGTGCGTCGCCTGCTGCTTTTGCTGAGATGATGCCGGCCTTGCAAATGAGCGAATCCGTCAGTGTGGATTTCCCGTGGTCCACGTGCGCGATGACAGACATGGAACGGATCGAGTCCGTCAAGTCCATGATGTTTCGGATCTGCTCCGTTGTGAAGTTCGGCATGACTGCAAAACCAAATCAGGTAAAAACCCTGCCGAATATACACTAGATGCCGCGTGGCCGTCGGCGTTGAGCCTCCCACTCGAAACGGCTAGAAGCATCGATGAATTCCTCGTCTCCCTCAACATGTGTTCCCCAAGAATTGCTTGCACTGAGGGGACAATCATTGTCCTCTGAGGAACTTGCCCTGGGTGCCGCGCTTTCCCGTCGCCGATTGGGCTCCATGCACTTGTCCCCTGGGTTCCCGTGGGTTCACTCATCCTGGATGCCGCACTTTCTCTGTTGACGCTTGGCTTCCTGTGGTTTCCTGTGCTCCTGGTGGCGCACAGTCTGGTTACCGCCTGGGCTTGTATGTTTTCCTATACGGGCTCCACACTCAGAGGATTCCACGCACACACACAGGGCTCTACACATCACAACTCACGAACAGAATTCCACCCACACGTCAGATTCCACATACTTGGGTACACACAACTAGGGTTCCCCCAACACACACACACACAAAAACACACACACACGCACGCACGCACGCATGCACACGCACACACACACACACACACACACACGCACACGCATACACACCAGACTCCACACGCACACTAGCACACACACGCACGCACGCACACACACACACATATACAAACACACACACACACGCAGACACACACACACACACACACACACACACACACACACGCACGCACGCACGCACGCACGCACACGCACACGCACACGCAGACGCACACACACACACCACGATCCACACGCAAACGCACACACAAAAACACACACGCACGCACGCACGCACAAACACATACACGCACACGCACGCAGGCACACACACACACACACGCACACCCGCACGCACACGCACACACGCATATATACATATATAGATGTGTATCAAGAAGTGCACACAATAACCCACAGGCATAATGTTTTACATAATGTTCCGCACAGTGCCTGCGCGCTGGCATCATCTTAAACCTTGCGAGTCACGACGATATTGCAAAACACTGCCCGCGCTGATTTCAAGCACGTCTTGTGCCGTCATGCAGGCGTCGGCCCGTGGTTCATCCTTCCATCCTGCTGTGCGAAGCCATAAGGCCGCCCTCACCATACGTACGCGACGGACGCAACGGAGGAATGCGTGGCAAGCGCCACAATCAGTCTCACCATCCCTCTGGGTGCAAGAGCGGTTGAGAGCGCTTCCTCTTCCAACCCTATTCGCCCCCTTCCCCTTGCGCACTCTGGATCTGGACAGGGGGTCGCCAACGGTCAGAGCGTGCAAGATGTCCCAAGATGGCCGCGGGAGAGCCCCAGACAACCCACGAAGGCCTTCAAGATGGCCCAAGATAGCCCAATAGTGCTTCCCCATGACCTCAAACATGTCTCAAAGAGGCCACAAGACCAGCCCAGGACGGATCCAAGTGGCCAAGAAGCCTCCCAAAGAGATTCCTCTGAGGACAATCTCCTTCGAAACCCAAGGCTGTTCAGTGATGCTTGCTTTCTCGCATGTTCGCTCCCGACTGGCCCTCGAGGCCTCAAGATGGCGCTGGTCCAAGAGGGGCACACATGGGCTCAGACGGCATCAAAGACGGCCCAAGAGCGCTACAAGAGAGCCCCGACCAGAGCTCAACCAGCCGATATGTCGGGCCCAAGAGTGGCGACACGAATCGACGCCGCCCCTTTTTTTGCTCGATGGCCTACAAGGGAGCTCAAAGGAACATCCAAGAGGCTCGTACAAGAGGTCTCTGAGGTCACCATAAGCTTATCGATCTCCCATCTCCAGAGAGCCTCTGGGCATCGTTTTGCAAGCATGGGCACGCGGAGCGTCAAAAAGACGGCGGCCCCCAAGAAGGGCCTCAGGATGGCCAGGAGAGGTCCCCAAGACAATCTCCGTAGGCGTCAGACGGGCCAAGAGCGCCCTAAGGACAGACAGACAGACAGCAGCCAGGAGCTTGATAGCGCACAGGAAGAGAAAAATACCGCATAGCGCAAGATACGACGTGAACCGACATGCATTCCCATTTCGTGAAATCTGACAAAACCAGACAAGGAGGGGAGGGAGGGGGAAAAAGTCGATGAACGGGAGGGACCACTTCAAAACTACTGTTGCGGCAAAACTTGTGAACACACTGAGCCTACTGTTGTTTCGGTCTGCCTCTCTTTCGGCATTGGTCCCAAACCCGAGGTAAAGATGATCAGGATGACACGTGAGAATTCGCAGCGGGTGGTCTTCTGAAAACCCCGCGACCTGGTTGTGCAGCGAAATATGTTTCCCTCAACGGGCCTCGTTTACGAGGGCGCGCTCGGCACATGTTCAAAATTTGGTCGTTGGAAACTCGCGCAAACTTGGCTGTTGGAAACTCTTGAACGCTGTACGGCGGCCCAAGAGAGCCTCGAACGTCCCGAAGAAAGACCCAAGAAACCCGCAGGAGGCCCCGCAAAGACACTCAGCACGCTCCGGGGAGGCACCAAGAGGAACGCAACCGAGAGACCACATTCTCCCCCTGCTCATCATCCACTTTCTCATTCCACTCCATCGCCTTCCTTTAGATAGCCCCTCCCTGTCGCACCAGCAGGCATCTATCTCTCTAGGGCGGGCCATGCGCCAGGTGTTTCGCAGGAGACTCCCCCACAGCGTACGACCTGGAAGTATGCAAATACCAACGGTCACACGGATGGAGTACAGGATTTGTTCAACACGGTGTTCTTGTCTCGGGGCCGCGCACACTCGTCTTAAAATCGTCTTGGCGACGTAGTTTGAAAGGGGGCTGGAAGGCCCAGCCAACAGCTTCGCGGCAGGCGAAGCCAAGCTCCTGCTCTGTTGTATCGTAGCAGCGGTAGTCCCAATGTGAGAGGAAAAGCCATTTCAAGCAATACGAATTTCCTTTTGGTCTCGATAGCGATAGTGTGCCTCGCGGTGAGGCGCAGTCAAATCTTGGCGGCCGGCCGCTTGAGTCAACGCGGCCGCGGGCGCGCCCTCGCTTCCACTCCTTACGTCCCCCAGCTCGGTTTAGAGTCGGGGGGGAGGGAGACGAAGCGTGAGCCCGAAGCCCATATACAGCAAGCGCAATTCAGCAGCTAACAGAAACAAGGACAGGAAAGGAGACGGGCCCAAGATAAGGTGGACCCGCCAGCAAGTTCCCTCGCGAATGTATGACATACTCACCAGGCGGCGTCAGAACTTAATGTCTGGCTGGCCCGATGTGGCGCATGCCTCTTCAGGTCATGCTCGAAGGTCTGTATACCTCCCGAACTTGCAGGAGCATTTCTCTGCCGATGCTCCCCTTGATGTGGCCATCCGCAGTCATGCCGCGGGTATCGCACCACTGAATGCTGTGCACAATCCCACGCTCCATCATCTGACGTATCCAACTGATGTCTCCTTAAAGGTACACTCAGTCGGCTTCTGCAAGTCTTTGCTTAACAAGGACTTAAAAACAGACTCAGCATCAATGGTCAAAGTGACCTTGATGCTCACACCACCCGAATCGAGTATATCTTTCAACTGAGTGGGCGTGAGCGGCCCTGCGTGGAACTCGTGCAGAGTCACAATCGTGGGATAGCAGTCCTCCAAATCATGGGCTGCTGCTAGTGTCTCTGCTGAATAGCTCGAGCGGGCTTGCAAGCGGTGAGACTTGCAGTACGCGTCGATCAAGTGAACGACAGGCTTACCAGATGACGTGTTTCCACGACGTAGCAGGTTTGCCCCGCGAATACCATGGCCTCTGACATGGTCGTCGGCGTATCCACTCAGGCGTCGGTAGCCTGAGTCGCTACGTAAGTCAACCTCACCCGTGGGGTTCATCGCCTGATAGACGATCTTTTACGGGCAGGCGTTTAACTTTCTGGTGATCGCGCTCAGTCGTCGCGCTTGAATGTTGGTCGATTCTTGCGCGCGCTGTAGAGATGCAGCATACGCCATCAACCACGCCTGGGTGCTCAGTGCGCATGCCAGCGCACCTCTGAGACTGACGAACATGTCTGCCACCGTCTCGGTTGCTTGAGCGTCAGCGTCAGCGCCAGTTAGTTCGGGATGTTGTATAGGACGGAGCTGTTTGATATATTCATCTTGATCCAACGTAACATGTCCGTCCTCGTCCAGTGTATCTCACTGCACAGTTAGTGTACGTGCGCTTGTTGAGTTTACACTCGACGAAAGTACCCTCAACGCATTTGACATATTTGTCAACGGTATCCTCAGTACCGTCCATATTGATATCATCAACATGCTTGGCCGTGAGCAAATTGTTGCTCGTCTCGAACTCCTCGTCGTAAGACGTGGGTCGGAGGCCAAATACTCTGGTGGTTCTCCCGAGCTTAAGTGAGAAAGCCCGTGGAGCGTCCTTAGCGCCGGTGCCTGGTTTGAAGCACTGCAGGCAGTGCTCTGACTCAACGTTGATCTCGAATCCTGGAAGAGCATGGAGCGCAGGGGCCGATCCAGGCGGCAAAGTAAAGCACACTGCACGTTCCTCCTCGCCAGTTGCCTCAGCGAGTTCCTGATAGGCCAGTCCCTTCAGGATGGCCATGTTGGTGTCGAGGCAAGCAATGGCCCACTGCATCTTGCACGCTGCCGTGCTGGCGAGTAACCTCTGGCTCGACCTTCTTGCTGTTCCCGAAAAAGTTGCTACGTCGAAATCTTCCTGAAGCCTCGAAGTACCAAGCGAAGTCGGATGGTACGCTCCATCTCGCCCTTTTCGTTCTTCACGAATTTCCATTGTATACATACCTCGAAGTCATGATGTTCGACGCTTTGGCCATCTCCTACATATTACAGCATCCGTTGTCGAACCATGTCTAAACTCAATGAAAAAAGGGCCTTCGACATTTTCTCGGGATTCGCCTGGATGTCACCTTTGGCGAGGAGGTCGTCTTCCTTGACGACCGCAACTCGCTCGGCAGCGGCGGTGGCATATACTCGCATAGTGGCCACCCCGCCGGCGCCCAATAACACGCGTTGATCGGACAATGCTACCTTTGACATTTCCGTCGTAAAGCACAGTTCAACGTATCGACCGTTTTCGTCAGAGTCGAGTCCGTTGCTGTCGTCTTCGGCCATGGTGCGCAGGGGGGCGTAGTACGTCTCC